ACACATGCATGTTTGGATGTATGTTCTCTGTGTCTGGCCCTTTGCACATGATGTCTCAAAGTCTCCATAAGGTAAGAAAGGAAAAGCTTGGACAGGAAACAAGAACCTCAAGAAGACCCAGTGCCCAACCTGTGTCTAGAGTCTACAGATTTGTGTGCACATGGTTTTCCATGATTCTGATTGTGGACATAGTTGTCTGATGTTGCTGCAGGTGTTATCCCAGAAGATTTGGTGCCCGGCTCCTTGAGATGTGGCTGAATCAGGAGGAAACAGTTCACACGCCTTTAAGGACAGTACCTGGTGCACATGATCAAGCAAAATAACAACAACTATATGTTGCTTTGTCATGCTTTGCATTGATGAATGGATGTCAGTAGCATTTGCAGGACCAAAGTTGGCACACCTCCACATCTCACCGATCGTGAGTTGTTTGTGTCCCTTGAATTGGGGGACCCATGGCATGATGCGCATGTTTTGGAGGTGTGGGATTTCCTATGGAAGCATCCCCACACCCAAATTCCAGCCTCATGGCAAGATGATATGCATAAATTTGATGCAGAATTTAGAGACACTCTGGGCTGTTGATGAGGCGCAGATGTGAAACAGGTCTGAGTTTGCTTGCAAAATCATGAATACCATGTTGTTTGGTGCACAAAAAGCACATGTTGATGACAAATGCTTGGTGCGAAACGCGCGCGAAATCCCGCGAAACGAGCGCGAAATCCCGCGAAACGAGCGCAAACCAAAATGTGTACCAACCCACCTATTGAAAATGTGTCTTTGGCATGAGGTTCCTTTTGCTCAATGGCCAAGTCCACGGACTCTTTAGGTGTTGGTGTTGGTCTCCTTAGGTTTGAGACCACCAGCTCCATGGAGGGGGGTGATTTGCAAAATGAAATTCAGGAGCATGTCGTTTTGATGCATGCAGTTGGTGGATTGGATGTTTCCTCGTGTTGCGCGAGGAGAGGCTTGAGCGCATTCGGCAGCTCCAAGCACGGCTGAAATCTGAGCCGACCAGGGGGTTACCTCATGCAGTAGTTCCAGCAGCTCCAGGTTGGTATGTGTTGCAGTATGGCACCTGCAAAGCACACTTGCAGCTTATGATAATGTGTGCCATGGATGCTAAACAAACTGAGTGCGCAAGGCCATTTGTTTGGGGACATCCATGATGATGGCAATCATGCACCTGGACATGAAGCTGCACATGCCTTAAATTGTTTGTTTTGCTTGCATTTATGGAGATGATGTGTGTGTTTGTGCTTATGTGTTCTTGCAGGTGCATCTCGGTGACCTTGCAACGCCGGCTGCTCCCAAAGTTCCTGAAGAGCCGCCTTCTGCCAGTGACTCATGCCAGCACACATGAATGCGGTGTTTGTAGTCTGATTGTAGGTCTTTGAATTGGCAACTCAGCCTGTCATTGACCTTGATGAATCAACTGGGCAATCTGCAGAGCTGGAGAAGGCACACACCATGTATCTTAAGATTGGTTCCTCATTGGTTCCTGGTGTGTGTTGGTACATGTGCTGTGGTGATTGATGAGCTTTTGAGTATGACACCAATTGTCTGCCTGTGGCCAGGAAGTGAAAGCAGCATCTGCCTTGGAACCAGCTGCTTCCAGAGATGCTGCACCGTCAACAACTTTTCATATGAAGAGAATCATTGTGCCCAAGAATGCTGATGCTCCAATTCATCAGACAGTTCGCAACATTTTTGACCGCACTGTTGTCAGAACTATTGATTGGGAGAAAGTTGATGCTCCAGGGAGTCCAGGGGGTCATGAAGCACCAACCAATCCTGGATCCTGTGAAGAAGATGCACATGCTCCTCCTTTGGAACCGACTTTTAATCCATTTCAGGCTCCTGGTCTTTTGGATGAGGTGTCGCTCAATATGGAACAGGTGAGTGTCCCAGGGAATGCTGGAGCTGCTGGGCACGCTGGTGGTGGTATGGATGTTGTGCAACCTTGCCAACAACTGGATGCATCACAAGTTGCGGATCTGATTGCTGCAGCAAGGACTGCTTGCTTGAATGTGATTGATTGTCTACTATACTGAGTATTTCTTGACTTGCATGGCAAATTTTTGTGTCTTTGTTTGCAAGGGTGCTTCCTTCTCCAGGAAGGGCAAGAGACCTGGACAGTATGACAAGTATGACCACCAGATACTTAATTGTATATAACTTGTGTCTCTTTTGTTGCATGCACTGTGCACACAAAAGTGTATTGGCACATGTTGTCTCAGGATTCGCCGTCATGTGACAAGTGTCAACAGTGAAGAACTGATGGCAGCATGGAATGACAAGGACAAACGTTACTTGGCTGCAAATTCGCATATTGCACTGCATTTGTTGGATCATATAATTCATAGGTAGTTGGCACCTGTATACCTGCATCAGGACAAAAAATGAAGGAGACGCTTGTGGCAACAGGTACTCTAAAGCAGGTTGATATTATTGCAAGGCGACTCTACAGGCAGTCAGTCACTGACACTGCCCAAGAGAAGCCAGTCACAAAACAGATGCTGAAAGAGATCTACCATTGGGACGAGAATCTTGGATGCATCCACTTGGACTTGTATGTTGGCTACTTCTGTTACATGTGGCTTGATTTGGTGCCTGTTTACATGGACCTTGTCACTGTGACCTGAGGACGATGATTGAGAATACCTGGGCGTGGGCGCAGCAAAGAGGAAAAGTTTACAAGCACCCCATCAACCAGGCAGAGTACTGTGACCTTGATGTTGACAAAGTCCGTGAGAGGCAGGTTTCAAGAATGTCTGAAGTGCAAGCAGTGGCTGCCTGCTCTGTGGAGGACACAGCCTTCTGCTTGAATTGTGCTTGCTTGCTGTGTCAAACATCATGGTCATATTATAACAAACTGGGCCATCAAACATATGACATGATTCTGTTCCCTCCAGGATTCTTCTGGATCTATCTTGAATGCTGTGAATCCCGAAGACCTGGGCCGTTCCATCATGGATGGAAGTACTGGTGAAGCTAGTGTTGGTCAGACTGTTCCTGTTACTCCAGCACTGCCGTTGCCTGTCTTGTTTGGAATGAATGTCTCTGCTGAGTTGTGAACACTTTGTTGTGTGTGCATTTGTCTTGTCAACATATGACCACTGAGGAAAGGACCTATTGAACGAGTGGCGTTTCCAACTGCAAGCGGGACAGTGGCACCCTACCAGCAGCTGGGTCAGTACATAATGATCTTGGGACAAAAAATTGATTCAGCTCGGGACCTGAAGGCTGGTGGTGACTCGTGTTTCAACAAATGTGTGTGACTATGGGTGTTGTGTGTTTGAATTGTGTTTGCACTTCATTCCTTGTGGGCAGGCCAGAATGGATCCCCACATTGGTTCTAATGAGAAAGCCAAGGAGTTGCTGGTGTCAATTCATTACATACAATGCACTACAACCAATTATACCTATATATTATATGATCATCCATGGTTGTTCCAGTTCAGGTTGTCTGATGGGATCGCTAAGCCTTTGGACACACTGCAATCGATGTACAAGGTCATGGTTGAGTTGCAGGGAGAGGCTATGATGACTGCACCATCCAGGCTGTTGGCAGAATGGTTTCAATTTGTTTGATCAGTTTGAATGTACACATGACACATCACTTGGCAGGGAGAAGCAAATGGAGCTTGCGAATACATTTGTCAAGTGCACAAAAGAAGACACAATGATGAATGTCTGGGTGGTTCGTGCAAGGATGGGCTGATATTCCTGCATGTGATTGGGCAAAGGTCTTCAATCTTGTGTTTGCAGTCTACTTGCAGTGCACTTGCACTTTGCAGGAAGTGGAAGCCACCAGCCACTGACGAAGAAAAGCAGGAGAAAAAGAAGAAGGCAGAAGATCGCAAGCGCAAACGTGAAGCTGAAAAGCAAGAGAAAGAGGTCAAGAAGGAATAGTGGAAACTTTTTTGCATGTCATCCATTGTCATGATCCCTGAATTCATATATGCATGACCATGGTTCAAAGCCTTATCAGCTAAGGATTTGGCTATGAGGGACGTGTATACATGATTACTTGTCCTGCGCTGCTTTGAATGGGGGTCAGCTGTGTTGGATCATGGCAGTTGTTCGGCGTAGAGAAAAAATGAAACCTGCACACAGTGTTGAGCAGCCAACTTGGAGCATGACCAGCCACTTGTCTTTGCTCGCTTGCTAGGGAGAACCTCAATGCACACATTTACCCATACCTTGACAGGCATTGACCTTGAAGCGGAAAGCAGTGGACAAGTGGTTCCTACTCCAGGCCATGTTGTTCCTGCCATTGTTGTCATTGTCAATGAGTATATTGGGACTTTGGACCTGCTAACTTATATTTGATTTGGGCCAAACTGATTTGCCAAGGCCAACCTACAATACCGGAGAAACAGTCCTTTGTTGATTGCCAACAAGAGTTGCTGGAGGAACTGCTGCAACACTTTGAGATTGGAGCCTCATGGCAAGCACACAATTCATGCATGTCCTTCAGTTTGCGAACATTTGTGTTTTTTTCTGCATGGCTTGGTTTGAAAAGACTTGCTGAGGCTGATGGTGCCAGGACTTGCGTCTTTGTCACTTTTGGATGATGTCTTGGCTGATGCATGCTGAAAGTAGTTTGTCAAGCTCTAGCTGTTGTGTGGACAGGAGTTGTGTATCTGCAGCACGCATGACTATTGGTTTGCGCTTGCCAGATGGGAGTTGGGGACTTGAGTTCTGGGTAATCCGGCGCTAGTGTTTTGTAGCGTGTTCTTGATTGTTGCTTGCTGCACTTTTTGGGGTCTGCAGGCCACCCCGCTCTCATGAACAAGTTGGCTTCCTGGAGAGACCCTTCTCATTGGGCAAGGAATCTGGAGAGACTGATTCGGTCTTGGAATCTTTCCCTTGTGGTTTGCCCAACCACAGTGATGACTCCTTGCAAGTTTCGTGGTTGTGTCACTTCCACACCCTGGCCGGTGTTGCTGCTGAGCAGTTGGTTGAAGCTGGTATTCGACAAAACACAAGCTCAAATGCTTTGCAATGGCCTACCATTGGGCCCAGAGTGGAGGAATGAATTGAAAGCTTTTTGGACTATGTACAGGCTGGTGAATCCACACCATGAAGCTTTTGCTTCACCTCAGAGGTTGGAGTGGACACTGCCGTTTCTTTATCATGGAGATGAAGGAAGGGGCCGTCTACGCAGAGCTGTGCTTGTTTGCAGCTACCAGCCACTTCTGTCCTCAAAAGGGCACAGCTTCAAGAGCAGACTATTAGCTTCCGTGTTTCCAGGCGAACGATATGCATGCCTTGAAGGTGAGGAAACTCTGGAGACATTGCATACTGTTATTGCGGACGACCTCAGGGATCTCTTCTACAATGGACTTGAGGCCAGCAAGAGCATACTTGTGATCACCACTGCATTGAAATGTTCATAGTTGCAGGTGCAGTTGCCTGATGGAACATCAAAGCAGATCTATGTGGCATTCTGTGGTGTAAAGGGAGACTGGCCTTGGCAAAGCAGCTGTGTTGCATTTCAATGCATTACTGATTCACGAACAAACCATATTAATCACATGGATGTGTAATGTGTAATATGATACCTTCACTTGCAGAACTTGCCCTCATTTGCATAAAGTTGGATTGTATCCAAGGAAAATGTCATCGGTTGACAACAGGATTTCGATCACATCGCATTTGTCAGTATTGTGGGTCACAAGCAGGGGCCTCAGATGTGGCTTCGTTTGCAACAATTATATAGTGCATGTGTGTGCAGGACTGGTGGTGCACCGCCCTCACAGCTCAATGGCGTGGACACCGGCCTGGAGATTGGCCATCCCGTTTAGATAGTCCTGCCAAGATTCATGAGGTACCTGGCATGGGCCCAACAGTTGCACCACCAGATCAAATGCATACATGGCATCTTGGGGTTGGGCAAGATGTGTGTGGATCATCTGTGGCAACTTGACATACTTTTGGTTGACAGTTAACACCCATGAGAGCTTGTGTGCACATGACAGTGTCACTACATGCAGTGTTGAAGAGCATTCACCTTTGCTGACAAAAAAAGGTATTGCTGGCTTGCCACTTGAAGTGGTTTGGAGGAAGATCGCGAGATGTGCAGCTGTCCAATGCCTTTGAGTGTTTCAACACTTGGAAGAAACAGTTGCCAAACAGCATGAGTTTCCAGTGTGCATGACTTAGGTTGGATCATTGTTGTTATTTTTCTTGTAACATTGTGTTGGATTTGATTTGTGCCTCAGGAACAAGAAAACGTGCACCTTCACTGAGTTTGATTTGACGAAGACATTCAAAGTCCAATCGAAGCTTGACTTGAGAGTCCATGTGTGCAATGTGAAATGAATTGTATTCTCACCTGGATGCTAGGTTGCAGAATTATCCACACATTGGAGGTGTGGACATTGAATGAAAGTTAATGTGTAGATTCGTGCAATTGTTTTTGCGGCGCTGCCACAGGAAAGGCATATGACACAGTGGTGATTTGCCAGTGGCTTCTCTGGTTGGTGCTTCAGGATCCTGTGGATCCCATGTGTGTGGCTTGATGTGTGAGATGTTGGAATGCAGGTGCAAATTTGTGAATGCAAGTGATAAGTGTGTGTGTGTGTTCATATGAATTCTGACTTTGACACTCAGGATCCTCCTGCGGAAGTGGTTGCGCTTCTCAAATGGACTCTTCAGAACGTGCAAACATACTTCAAAGGCATTACAGGACGGAGGTGGATTCCAAGACCTCAGGCTTTGTTGCTTGCACAAGCATGCCATGACTTCACTGATTCTCAAAAGCAATCCATGCATGTGTGTTTGACTTGCTTGATTGATAGCGATTGATAGAGGTAGTGCTTGATTGCTCAAGGAAGGCATATCTACCCTGCATCATTGCACCAAATCTCGGGGCTGGACCTTGTATGCCAAGCGCCCTAAGCTCCATCACCAGCAGGAAATTGGGTTTCTCAGTGCAGTGCATAGATGTTCCTGTGCACTTGTCATTTGATGTGTGCACTTTGTGCCTGGAGATGTGCAGCAATGACGCCTTCCAAGGCTTTGGATTGCTGACCAGATTCAACGTGGGGCCCAAATGATTCTATCACCGGTGGGCTTCTCTGGAGCATAGAAACCTAATGACCTAGTCTTGGACAGAACTGTGGATTGCTTTCATTCACCTTGCTGTGTCTCCATTGATGCACACACTGGCCAATCTGAGTCTTTGCCACATGGCTGGACGAGGATTACATTGGCCGAGCTGCTTGATAGAAACAATTGTGTGGATTTTTTTGTACATGGAATTTGCTAAGGTGAGCCGTATGAGCAGGCGCTGCCACAGCTGGACAATTTGCGTGTCTACAATGAGGAAAGCCCTCATGCACTACAAGCGCAAATGGACAAAAGAAGGATGGCTTGCAGTGCAGAAGGCTGATTTATGTGATTCTTATTGGGTGGGTGTTATATAGCATTTTTGTTCCCACTGCATACACTGTGTGCCTGTATACACGTGATTAGATGAAGTCTGAACTGTTTGTGCAGGTGCAAGGCTGAAGTGCAGCAAGCAGTGAGGCAGTTTCATGTACATTCATGTGGATTGCCAGTGGGCAAAAGCTTATGTTGTTGGAAGTCTCTTTTGGGAAAGGGGTTGACTGGTGCTTGCAGGCTTCAGCTGACCTGACATGGTATGGCTGGGAGCTCGGAACGTTTCATTTGCAATGCATTCACATACTTTATGCATGAATCTTGCATGTGTGCATTGCTTGGAGCTTGTCCTTGCCATGTACTACAGTTTGTTGCTTCTTGATGGGTGTTGCCTCAAGCGGCTCAAAAGAGTAAATAGTGATCTTCTGTGCCTTGGTTCCGTGGCCTAGCTTAATTGTGTGTACCACATTAGAGTGTGAGCCTGTGCTACCGTTGCACTGTACTGCACTCATGTCATCTATTCTTTCTGATGCTTAAGTTTTGATTGGTTGCCTGCAGGTGATTGTCGTTTGATGGCGAGGACAAAGCAAGGTGAACTTGCCAAGCGGAATGTGGTGGACCGCCCCAACAGGCTTGCCCACTTGATAGATGTCTTGCAAAGGGATGACACAACACATGAAGACATGTTCAATCCCTTCAACCTTGTTGCTGGTGTGTGTTTCATCTTTTGTGCATGGATTCAGTGGGCTTGGGTGCCATGTATAGTGTTGATCCTTCTACAAGTGTGTTGTTTGATGTGGAGTGTAATCTTTGATGGCAGGAGCTCCAGGAGAGAGTTGGACAAAAGCAAAAGGACAGAAGTGGCTGTATGTTGATATTGCACAAATATATGTATGCATGTTGCCAAACATGCTTGTTTTTGGCAGGGGTGATAGTGAGGAGAAAGGTGAGGACGTGAAAGAACCTGTTGAACGCTTCACCATGACTTCAGAACAGAACCTCAGAGTCCATCTCAGGAGAACGTGTTGTGTCACATGTTTGTTTTTTTTATGCGCAGCAATATCATGTGTTGCATGGGGCAACTTTTGGTAGCATGGAAGGAGGTTGGAACTCCGTGTGGCCAAATTGGAGATGGATCTCCAGTATGAGAGAAACAGGTTCAACCTGTACCAGAAGTATTGCTCACCGTACTTGGTCAAACTCAAAATGTTTCAACGATTCAAAAGGCCTGGGGCAGGGGAGCTGTGTAGGCTTCTTTGCATCATTGTCAAATACAAATGGTTTGGTGTGAAGCTTTGCATGGATCACCCTGCTTCAGGAAGAGCTCTGGTCGTACATCTGAGGAATCCTAGTTGGAGTCTTGGGAAAATATATTCCATGGCAATGCTGATTGAAACACACTCTTGCAGGTACAACTTCTACAGTGAGTTCTTTTGCCGGAGGTGCATTCGTATTGGTGATTCCATGTGCACATGTGTTTGATGTGTTACAATGATTTGGTTGTTTGGTTCTTGAACCAGGTGCCAGAAATGGTGAGAGTCTTTCGGGCTGAGTGCTGGTGTTGGAGGGAAAAGTGCTTGCACAGTTGATTGAAAGTACCAACACAAGACAACTTAACAACATGCAGTTTGAGTTGCAATGAGTCATGCAATTTTGACATGCATCAATACATCTGAGGCTTTGAAGTGAGCTGGAACGCTTCAACTTGGCATGACCTGTGAAGAAAAATGAGTGATATGTTTCCTCCACGCCACAGTGGTGGTACACATTTTTTTTTTGACCTGTGCCTCGAGCACATTTTTGGTGGTTGGTACGCATTTTTGGTGGTACACATTTTTGTGTACCAAAGGGATGTTCAGGTCTATTTAAATTTCAATAAAGTTCTAATTGTAATTCAACTTTCCTTCACTTCTAATATTGACTTACTCTTATGACACTTCTAGTTCGATTCAAAATTTACTTATATTCTCAACCCAATTGAAATCAAATTAAGTTCTAATTCTAATCAAATTTTAAATTGATTTCCAATTAATATCATTTTTACATTCCAATTAGATTCTACTTGTCATTAAATTTTAAGTCAATTCTAATTTCAATCAAATCATGATTAAATTTTCATTCTCATGAAAATTTAAATAGATTCTAATTCTAATTAAATCCTAACTGAGTTCTATTTCTAACAACAGTAGCACATGCCAAGCCTTGAAGTGTGATAAGCTCATTGAATATGTTGAGATGAAGCGCGCCCACATGTATATGGCAGTTAGACTCCCCGCGATTTTCCGCTTGACGGAATGGGTGAGGCCCTGCTCTTTGCAACGTTTATACCTTATAGATAAGAACTTTACATTGCGCTGGAGTTTTCGGCCATACGGCCTGTCACACAAACCCTGGAACGGTCGAATTCCATTTAAAAGTGGCCTTTGAATCCGGTCAATTCATTCTTACTTGACAACCAATGACATGTTGAAAGTACTTTTGAATATGTGTGGCCCTGTGTGGCTTATCAAACCGTCAAGCATCTCCTAGAAAGAAACACTTCAATTGTTTTTGAACCATGCTGCCACCAACGGTCTTTGGCAACTGCGCTTTTGACGGAGTGTTCCATGGGGGGAGTTTGGCGCGTTCAAACCCGTCCCAAGTCGTTTCTTTCCATCTTGTTTGACGTGAATATTGAACCGTGTTGTGAGCGTCGTGGCTGCCATCCTGGACAGCGTTGAGCCAATGCACTTTTGCTCCGAGCTACAACGTGCGATGGTGCAACTCCAACTCGATTTCATTTTTTTCTTCTCCAAGCAGAGGACAGACACTCACGTTTTCTGGTCATCCCAGATCCAGTTTTTTTTGGCGACATATTTGGAAAAGTAACCATAGGTCATAGGTAGTCACAACAGCAAGGTAAGGGGTTTCAGAGAGCTATATGAGAGCGCTCTCGCCGCCGGACACAATCCAGTAAAAACATCAAAGCAGCACAAGTGCAGACATCTCAGCACTCGTCCGGCAGATCCTGTGCTTCGCGTATGGTCCCAGGCGCAATGGGTGTGCACCCGTCCGGACATCACATGAGCAAGTCATTCTCCAATAGAAAGAATACTAGAAATGATATCCGGACAAGGGGCAAGGTCTACAACGATCCTCATTTTGCCCCTATTTGGGCTCAAAGTAACAATGGCCATTCAGTTAGACGCAGCTTCCTAGTGGCTGCTCTCTTTAATTTGCATTATATAATATTTTAGCTTTGCCCCATCAATTTGCGTACAACTGGTATCGGGATACCCCTTTCACTTTCACATTGTTGACCACCCGCTTCAGCATGTATAATTCAAACACCGTAGCCGTAGCTATTCAGATGTTCAAACGATTGCTCATTCGGCCTTGCTCCCTGTGATTTCACTGATCTGGGACCATCGATATACTGTATGCACACAAGGCAGTATCGCCCACGGGGTGGTAAATCAAATAAGAGGAAGCGAACTCGCGACTTCTTCTGGAAACTGCAACATTTGGACCGCTCTTACCCGGTCGTACTGCAAGACAGTACCTTGACGATCTCAGATTCGGAGGCTGAACAGGATGAATTCGACCTGGGTCTGGGCAGGCCATCGGCGTCCAGTACACTGAGCACATCATCGAGTGCAGCTGCGACGTCAAGCGCGCAGGATAAGGCCCATCCAGTTTTTCCACCGATTGCGCCGGAAGATCAGCTTGAATTGTCCTGGGAATCAAATGGCTTTGAGGTAAGATCACTTCCAGGCTTTGACGGTCGAACCATCTTCAACCGGGCAGCGGCTGAGTATTCTACTGAGTTTGGCCCTGACTGGGAGGAGGTGCAGCGTACATTGCATGGGTGCGTCATCTTCGACTTATTCAAAACCTTTCTCATACCACCTGCATGGGTTCGCTCCGAATTGGAGCGCGGGCAACTTGCACGGACGCATCAGGGTACTCTTCACATTACTCGGGCAACGGGTGACTTGCTTCTGGAACTTCTGGAGGACAATGCTGCGGTTATCGCTTTGAGCTACATTGGAAGGGGTAACTCTGATCGATACATCAGATCTTTGATTTCCTCTCGTGTGGCAGCCAAATTCTGCCTGATCGTGATTTGCCATATGAAAGCTGACAAAGGTCGCATTGCGAAGTCTTTGGATCCATCCGTGGCAGTGGACGATTCTTGGGACGTGATCCAGGGCTACCATGCGGTTGCAGTGCCGTGCATCCAGGTCTCAGAGAGACGCCAACGTAGTGATTGCCGCAAGGAGATCTTCGCGCGGATTCGGCAGTATTGGAGCCCGTGAAATATTGTGCAGGAGCGACGGGGTGACTTGCAGGGCGCATGTAGGACTTTCTGGCCGCACTCATGCATGAGTTACCCCTGGCCGCACTCATGCATGTAGGACTTTCTGGCCGCACTCCAGCGGTTCCAGCCAATCGGATTTAGCATTGAAAGGATCATCCCACGTACTAATCCGGGAATACTTGGGTCATAACTACACTCGGGTTAGACCGCATTTGACCATGGTACTTCCAATGCTAAACAGACAGTGTCCAAGTGAAATAATATTGCCAAGCAGCCGCAGCCATTGATCAACCACTTACAAAGTCTCCAAGCCAAGCATACCGAGCATCGTGCTCCACTTGGTTGAAATCACGTATTGGATGTAGCGCAATGGTTTCTTCTGATAGCTTGCTTGGACAGGTCCCAATACCCATGTATCTTCGGAACAGTTGCTGGCAATATTGGCTGTTCCAAGAAGCAACCAGAGAAAGAGTGTCTTTTCTGATAGGTTGTTTGCCCGCTGCTAAAAATTAGGTTATATGCATGTGTATATATATATACATATCTATTTCTATCATGGACGCCCCAAACCTTGATTCTTTTGAAGCGTATCTGACTGTTAAACCTTTCTCCTTTTTTTGGCCGCCAAGGATAGTCGTTATCATCCCATGTAAGGAATTTAATTAACCATCATTCCCCGGCAGCTTGACCCTCTTTAAGGTTCACGGATTCCACCCAGCTTCCGAGCGTATCCAATTCCAGCCGGTCTGGTGGTGCCCGGAACCAGGCGGAGCTTCGACCCCAACAAGACCAGAGAGCTCAGGCGCAATTGCGACGACTCGGCCCGACCATGATCCATGGTGATATTAGGATTCCCCGTAACAGAAGATATATGAACCAGGGCATAGAAGAACAGTGGTTTGTTCCCGCTACAGATCCTTCACATGGACAGTAAGACGTTTCAGCGAGGTTTTCCTTTTCCTGGACGCAGTCTCTGTGTCAATTTATAAATTTGGCCAGGTTACACCTCACATCGCCCACTTGAATCAATTTGATTTCCTTATTATCCTGTTTCTGGTCACCTATCTCGAAACATGTAGCTGCAACCATAGAGACACATTAGCTCAAAAGCCTTCTGAGTATCATAAATTTTGAGCTACGTCTTTGTTTGAGTGAACTTTCAGCAGTGATTTTTCTGGTACCTGCCGCTGACGCCGGTGTGACTTTGCCGAAGTTATTCTTGTTGCTCTGAAGGTCAATTAGACACAGAAACAGACAATCCGCATACTCGGCTCCCTCGATCCGCTTTGTATGGCAAGCTTTTGGCGCTTGTAACTTGAAAAATGCTTCATAGGAGTTTTTGAAATATGGCCTTCGCACGCTTCGTGCACGCTTCGCGTGTATACCGCATAAGGACAGGTGTCACAGCTGCGCAACACCCCCACGGAAAGCCATTCAGCCATCAGCAAAATAATGCCCGGGTTTTGCCAGCAGGCAGGGGATAGATTTTCTCATACCTTCCCAGGCAAACAGCCATAGCCAGGCGCGTCGATGGTGTATTCTGTTTCAATCAGCATACGTTAACGCCCCCCCAGTTACTCTCAGCTGAGCTTCTCTGACCCCAAAGCACAACAATTCGGAGGGCAGCGACAGTGGCGACAGTGCATAAATTACAGGGATATCACTGACCCGGGGTGGCCTGTGAGTGACGATGAGGTGGCAACTTGATGCACATGAAGTAGAGCCAGCCACCTGCGCCTTGCAAGTGGATTGCGCTTGGCTTTTCGCTTCGTCCATTTTTCCGTTCCCACTCTCTCTCTCTCTGGCTGTACGACCTTGAGCGCAGTGGTCCTACAAGTAGGATTCACCACCTTGGCGGTAGAGTTGGGCGTTTATGTGCGGGGAACGCGCAAGGCCCCCCCCTGGTAGATCAGACGATGGTGATGCTACAGCACCGTTGCCAGCTCCCTGGAATAAAGCCTATGCGGCAGGGGAACTTGGTCGCAGAGAGCAGCTGGCTTCGCCGCGCCCTGCATCGTGGCAATGTATCGAAGTTTTTTTTCAGCTAAGACTAGACAACCAAACGTGCAATGCATTTGCGCTGCCCGTATAGCAGGTGTAGCCAGCGTGGGTCCATTTTTCTTTTATAGTATGGAACCGGCCAGCGTCATTCTTTTTAGTTGCCTAACGGGAATCGTCGTGTGCATACACAAGGGCTCACAGATTTCCAGCACAGAAGCGCATCACATCACTGCTAGGAGGCTTCACGCAAGAGCTTTCCCAATTGGTGGCAGAACACATGGCCCAAGATGAATCTGGAGGAGGCCGGGCCGGGCTCTGCTCCGACCAAAGCGACCCATAATGAATAATAACCATTGCTTGCTCAACGTCAACAGGCCCTGCTGGCGCAGACCACACGGACACGTGGCCGGACTACATGAAGGAGTGGTGGGCAAAGCGTGCGCAAGCACGAGCGCTCTTGGAGTTTGAGCCGCCGAACATGCCACTTTTCAAGCAGGCCCCCCCAAGCCAATGTCACACGCAAGCAGTTGGTCCGCAGGTCATGCTGTCGCAGCATGTGGGACACCAGTCATCAATTTTGCAGCAGTGGCACCCTGACTGGCTACCGCAGTTGTTTGATGATGTGAACAAGCTGACCGTTCAGAAGGATGTAGGCCAACGCCCCCTGACATTGGCAGAAGAAATTTCTACCTTTCGCAGCAAAGTCGATGAATCTTTTGGGTGGAATGGGAAGGTCTTAGATGAACAGCAGAGATGCCGCAGAGCAGCAGCGCAAACCACCCTACTGCTACTCGACTCTTTGGTGCCATGTCCCTTTGCATTTTTTCACCCTTGACCTCCATAACCAAGCCTGCTCATTCAATGTTAACCTTCTGCGTGTTGTCTGAAGTTGTGGCACTTGTCATGTGGATACATTAAACTTTCACGCCCGGAATCAAAAAGATAAAGACATAGATTGCGTATGCACCCTTTCCTGCCTGGCTCAGCGTTACCTTTGTTCGTTCACCGTCACGCAGCCCCGCTACCAAGATTGCTGAGCACCAGCCCAGACGATGGGAAGTCTGAACTATTGCATTGCAAAGTATTCGCTCTGGTGGCTGGCGAACTCTACCGCAGTCATGGTGGCCAGCTGTTTGAATATGCTAACGGTGCCTGGGCGCCAGCGTCTCTTGGGCTCACGTCCGTCAACCTCGAGTTCATCTTGCAGGCCCTCCGCAGAGCTCAAGCTTACTTTTCCATCATGGCCCACATCAAACCCAAACGACGCTATGATGACATAGTTTTCGAAATCAAGGCAATCCAGCAGGTGGGTATGGAAGAGCTCCTCCTGCAATGGCAACTCCAAGATATCCTTCCGCGAAAGCCCGAAATAAGGGCCCGTGAGTGGCTGCATGGATTGTCTGAACTGTGTCGATCCCTTCGCCACCAGTTTGATGAGCATTCCAGGACCAACCGTGCGTCGCCAAACCGTGCAATATATATATATATATATGTGAGCCGCTTTCAAAATTATCGTCATTCACTTTGTACAAGGGCGTTTCATCCAAGAGTGCGATTTTAGGTTTTCCTTGGAAAACGATACGGGGCGTCCAAAAAAAACGATGCCTCTATTGTTACATGCATCAGTTCCTAGAGTTCTTTGACTTAATTTTGGTCTGTCGTCCTGCTACAGCAACTATTCTGAGCATTTCTGCTCAAGGGTCTGAAGGGCGTCACTTCATGAACCGGTTTGTTCTTGCAAGTGTCACAGGCAATTAGGGATTGTGATTGCTTGTGTTTCGCGGGCTGTGTCGTGGCTCCTGGCTCATGGGCTGGCCCCAGCCTACGAGGAAAGGCTAGGCTCTGGAACAAGGTGCGCGCCTTTGTCCGCCTGTCTTGGTTTGGACAGGGGTTGTGTGCTTGCAGGCAGGTTGATGTCATTAAAAAAAAGCAAAAAGTCAGCATCATAAAACGATACCCCAAAACGATACCCTAACGATCCCCAAGGGCAAGTCTGCCAAGGTGCAGGCAGGCTTGTGTCTTCTAGTGAAAGAGATCAGATCAGTCAGCAAACGAGCGGCAGAAGCCAGCAAGGAGCAGCTGTCCGTGCTGTTGTCCTTTCTCACTACACAGAACTCGTCACACTTCCAGCAAATGCTCTCAGATCATGAATGATCACGAATAAGGGTTCCTTTGTTTTGTTGTTTGTGCGTTTGTGTTGGTGTTTTGTTTGTTATGATCCGTGACGTTCATTGTTGGCGGCAAGACCCCACCATGCAAAACATGTAAAACATTACACAACGATACGTACTGTGCTCATTCTACCAAACACTGTAAAACGATACGGGACGTCCTAACTTTGAACGAGTACAGCTTTAGTCAGTAATTTAGAAAACTCATATGTATATTATTTTACATTTGTTTGTGCATACATGCGTCTCCAAACGCGGCGCGCGTGTCATGTCATAAGTTGTTCCGTTCCGCAATCTCCCGGGTCCAGTCCCAGGACAATTGTCAAGTGTTTTCAACGTTGGGGTGACGAAGAGATTCGCTTTCAGCAGCAGCCAGGTCTGTGTTTCCAGGATGCCTTCATTTCCACTGTGGATGGCACACCGCAGCAGATGAACAAAGATGCCCGCCATGGTTGTTACATCTCCATTCCGACGCCCTTCTCCCAGACCCCGACCATGGCCACACGTCAGTGATACGCAAGTATCCTGCTGTCTTCTTTCGCAGGGTCTGATGGTCTCCAAGTCTTGCTCAACCAATGTGCCCTGGTGGTGGCCCGGGTCAGACAGCCAGATGTGTTGCACGTCGTCGTCGGCTGTGGCCACGATGGCAAAACTCTGATTTTTGTCGACCACATGCGGGCTGTGTTCGGCAGCGGCTTCCGTTGCGCGCCATGCGCAATGCTCCAAGCAGACCGAGAGTTCCAGGTGCAAGGGGTCAGTTTCATCCACGCAGCATTCCTCACTTTTGATGAATGCAAGCGAGACCAAGGGCTCGTGGAAGACATTGTCAAGGTCTTTGTTGGTGGTGGCTGGCTCCCTTTGCGGAGAAACCACGAAGCAGAGACAAGATACGGGCGTTGGCCCAACACTGGCAAAGTCTGGGCTATGAATGTCGGGGATATCCCCAAGGTGCCAACGGCGGAAGAGGTTTCTCATCGAAGGAGGTTCCGTTGCACCTACATGCGGTCCAAGTTCACCGCGAACCACGATGAGGTGGACGTCGCCAACAGAGTCTTCCAAACAGACCCCACTGCTAAGGAATTCATGGCCTCTGGGGATGCAGTATGGTGCTTCTTCCAGGACTTTTTGTTCCCTCATCTTCGGGTGACTGGGGTTCAGAAATGCAGCGACAATTTGGAGCACCTCCGGCCAGGAACATGCTTGCAGAAGGACACGCAGTGGCTCCTCCGCAAAATGAGTCGCTCTGATGACAGCCTGCATCCAGACCAAGACCTGCCTTGCGGGCCGGGGGCTCCGCAGCCAGCGTCCAGCGCCGCTGCATCTGCATCCGAGCGCTTGGTCCGAGACACCCACGCAGCCATCCAAAGCCAGTTCTTCACGGCAGCCAGAACCTCAGGGACTTGTGCTCCGGACATCTTCCTGTTGGCCGGATCATCACCATGACATGTACTTCTGCGCTACCCTACTTGTGATTCGGAAACCTCGTAACACTAGTTAGACAACTAGAACAAGCGATCCGAGTACCCCACGCATCGCATTTCCTACATCGCTGCTTTGAACTAAGGCTGACGTCAACAGAATCGCTTTGGCTTCCAATCCTGGCGCAGCTCCCCCAAACCGGGCTGGCAAGAAGCTGAGAGTGGAGTGCCTCAAGGAAGCTTTGCCCGCATGTCACATCTCATTCGCGCGGTGGATGGCGTTGTTCGAGGTGGCAGCCAGACGGGTCGCTTTGAGCGCAGGTGCCTTGACCCCAACAAGTGGCACCGCTGCCTAGAAACATCTGTGGGAGAGACGCGTGTCCAAGAAGTCGCCGGTACTTGGGCAGACTGGGCTTGGCCTTCAGCCGCGGAGACTTCCAATGCGGATGACTTTGATGAACCAATCGGCTTCCCCCAGGGAGACTCTTGGACCATCTCTTGCAGAGTCAATGTGGACGGCCTGCAAAATTTTGGGACCGCTGCGCCCGGAGTCAAAGGACAACATGCCACGCAAGTGGCCGAACAGTGTGCAAGAGATGGCCGCGACGAGGGCGCTGGCATCATGGTTGTTCCATGCACCGGTCATCAAAAAAAGGTTGCCGGAGAATCTCTTGGGAGAGCCTTCTTCCCATGGGTGAGTTTCCCAAGTCTGTCTCGGGCCGCAAGGAATTGCGGTAGCCCTCCGGGAACAAAGGAGTTCGACATGCCAAATGCCGTGGTGCACTTTGCTTTGGACTTTGCCCGTCAGTATGGGCTGGACTTGCCATGCTTTCGCCGCTACTACGCTTTCAAAGCGGAGTGGCGCAAAGTGGTCATGAGCTGGTTCTCTTTGCCCGAACACGATGCCAAGAAAGCCCTTTTGATGGCCTGCTTCGGCTTTGCTTTTCCATCGCGGGCAACGGGGCTCCCCGTCGCCTGCCCATTGCTAGAAGGTTTAGCAGCAGACGCCATGAAACTGAGAGAGCTGCTATGTCAGAAATTTCCCCAGGTCCTACAAGCTATGAAAGAAGCAAAAAAGCCTCGTCCAGAAACATCTACAATGGCCTTCTTGTTGTTCGACAAGGAACGCGCAGCTATGCGACAGTTCTGCGACCTGTTGCCTAAACATGGTTTTGCTTTGGTTGGGCCGGTCTTTGACGCAGTGCTCGCTGTGCCAGAAAGGCAGCTCAGCGATGGGGACGACCACACTTCCCGTGAGTTGGCCTTGCTGGCTGATTTTGAAAGCCTGACAGGCATCACCATGCAAGTCAAAGCCTTGGACACTGCCCCGCCTGTTCTCACAGTCCAACGGATTCTGGATGACATTCTGGCCTCGAATCAGGGCATTCGAATGCACAGCGTCGAGCACGTACCTGGATGCTACTCCTGCATCGGAACAGCTCTCCTCAATTTGTTTCCCGAAGAAGAATTTTCCATCAAAGAAGCAACTTCAAACTTGACAGAGCCCATATCTTACCAACGTGCCATGCAGCTGTGCCCTCAGATAGCGATTGAACCCATCTCTTGGGCCCAAGCAAAGCAATGCACTGATGGAACATGCTTCTTGCTGCACACCTCCCATGCTTCGGGCGCAGACATTGGCCATGCATATGGGCTGAAACTTGTTCAAGCGGCCATGCACATCTACAGCTCGACTGAAGAGGAGCGCATTCAGACCAACGCGAGCCTTTTGTTGGACAAGTTGCAGAATGTCCCGGGGATATACATTTTCAACGTCCATGTGCTACCCAACGGAGATCCTGCGGCCAAGCGGCGAAAAAAGGAATACGGAACCTCCATCGAGTTGCAGTTGAAAGCTGGAATGGAATGCGATAGCGAGGAAACCAGCTGGGAACGCCTGAGGATGCAACTGCAAGACAGCATGCGCAAGGAAGTCGACCGGGAAATCACACGTCCAGGACTCAGCTGCACAGTTGAACAGACACTGCTTCGCCACCTATGAACCATGAAGCAACATACCATCATGACCATCATGCATCAAAATCCATCCACCTCAAAACTTCGAGCGCCTCCCAGGGAATTACGCCGGCGTAGACCCCTGATAGCAAGAAATATGTTGCATTCGAAACCTTGTTTTTGTTTCAGGCTCCTCGCACCAATGTCAGCAAGCTTCAGTCCACTAGTTGCAAGCGTGGTATTGGATGGACCAACCGCGCTTCAAAGCTTTGCAACGCCGTTGTTTTGTGAAGTGTTTCGCAACGCTCTTTCTTTGCTGGCTTAAAAGTGTTTTGCATCACAAGGAGCTAGTCCAAGCGCTAACCTTTGCCACTAAAAATGCTTCTCCGCTCCAAAGAATGGACTTCGTGATACGGCAGCAGCGGCAAAGCCAATGCCGCTCCAGCAGGGAGACAAATAGGAAAACAAGGCAGCAGCGGTAAAGCCAACACCGATCAAGCAGGGGGAGACAAAGAGGGAGACAAGGCAACAGCGATAAAGCCAACGCTGATCAAGCAGAGAGAGAGACAAGCAGGGGGACGAGCAGGGAGACAAGTAGGGAAACAAGGCAGCAGCGGCCAAGCAAACGCCGATCAAGCAAGCAGACAAGCGGGAGACAAATAGGAGCAGCGGTAAAGCCAATGCCGATCAAGTAGGGGGAGATAAGCAGGGAGACTAGCAGGGAGACACGGTAGCAGCGGTAAAGCCAACGCCGCTCAAGCAGGGGGAGACAAGCAGGGAGACAAGGCAGCAGCGGTAAAGCCAACGCCGATGAAGCAGGGAGACAAGTAGGGAGACAAGGCAGCAGCGGTAAAGCCAATGCCGATCAAGCAGGGAGACAATATGGGACACAAGGCAGCTGCGGCAAAGCCAATGCCAATCAAGCAGGGAAACAAAGAGGGAGACAAGGTAGCAGCAGCAACGGTCGACCAAAACGCCGATCAGCCACCCACTCATTGAGAAGTAAGAAGCCGTGTAGCTGTCGCGATCGTGGGAAAAACTGACATATCTGCGCATGAAAGCATAGCGCCTCATTGCTCAGCCACGAAGGGATACCTACCAATGGTCCCAACTGCTGTGGTCGTCGCATATTTTCCGCCTTTTCCTCCAGTCGAGTCGGAGCTTCGCTGTCCGAGGTTTACGGAGCGAGGAAGGATGCCTCAACCCGCATGAGACTTACAAGTGCACCTTGTGCCCCTGGAGGAAATTCAGCCGAAGATCTTATTTGTTGACGCACGTCCAGAAGTACCATAAACCTGAAAAGGATTTCGTGACGACCAAGTACCAGTTCCATGTTGCATGCGCCATTTTTGAGCAAAAGCAGGCCTGGAAGCTTAAAACGCGACACTCACTTCCGGATAGCTTTCATTTTTTAGCCCTTGACAGGCGCTCAGCGCTTTGGCCGTCCCATGCGTTGCAGACGAGCAATTGATATGCCAGGCTGCGCAATGCATTCGCACCTGGTCCGACCTCGACCCTGAGTCTTTGGCCTACGTTGCAACTCAAAATTCCATCGACCTGGTTTTGTTGTTGACGCAGGATGGCCCAAAGTATGTCCTCAAGCAGCAAACTGCACCTGCGTTGCGTGTCAACAAGATGCTATACATCACCAATGACTTTGCTGATTTGCTCCTGGCCAAAGCAATCAAGCATAAGGGCAAGATCCACAGCATGTTCAACGACATCACCATGGAATGGGTGTCGAGGGGTAGCCCTTGTGCGTGGCTCGGGTGCCGTCGAGCAGACACGCGCCAGGCTGTTTTTGCTCAGGTCATGGCTTCAACCTCCGTCAAAAACTTGCGGGATGCTTTAGTCAATACGGCCACTGACCACAAGGAATGGCTGGTTTGTAGCCACGATGCCACTTTTCAAGTCCTGTTCAGTGCCATCGGACAGCTACCGATGCAACAGAAGAAAGGTGAATACCACGCACTCCATACCTTTCTGGGGCGTTCCGGGGCCGTGCCGGGCTTCAGCCTCCAGAGCACAGAAGGGCCTGCCAACTTTTGTTCAGCTGTTGCCGAAGTCCTCCCACTCAGCGCCCGGCTCACTGTGCAGTACCTCTTTTCAGACAATCCTGCCTTTGTGGAAGGTGCCAATGCAGTATTGCCAAACCTCGTGGCTGTGGCTGAAGATGCCTTGCATTTAGTGCTGCGCGTCGAAGCCTGCACAGGAGAGAAACGTACTTCCTTGTCATCGTGCCTCCTCCGGGTCATGAAACGCTTCCGCTTACCTTGCCCAGGACCTTTCTACCACGGTCGCACCAATGACGATGACTGTGATCAAGGGCATTGGTCCGAGGACTTTGCCGAAGAGGATGTACCTGGCGATTGGAATTGGGATGACAGGGTGGTAAAGCCATACTCAAGCCACCAGGAATACATTGATGACATCCAAGTGCTCTGCGCTCAACACTTCGACCAGATGCACAAGAAAGACAAGAAGGGCCGTACAATCGAGCAGATCTTGCGAGCCGGTGTGTCCTACAAGCATTTCCGTTACCTATGGAACGGCTCCCACATCATAGAAGCCCTCCACCATGCCATGGACCCGAAGGAAGTGGAACTCCTCAGCTTTGGCACCTGCAGCAACGAGGCTTTACATTTCCAGCTCAAAGCCTGTCAAGAGCAAATCATCCAACAGCACATCCAAACCTTTCCTCCGCAGCTGGAAGCATTCAGCTTGGCAAAGCTGTTGGCGCATCATTCGGCCGCGTACCACCCAACTTTGGCGCAGAGAAAGGAATCAGAAATCTTAAGTTTGATGCAAGGTCGTTTGATCAAAGGGTTTCTGCCACCCTTGGAGGAGAGGCAGATTGGACCAACCCTTTGCAGAGAAGCCTTGCGCAAGCCTGTGCATAGCTTGGATCCCAGGAAGGTTGCAGCCAGGAAAGCCTTGAAGGCAAAGAAAGCCGAGCAGTGGCAGAAGGAAGTGAAGAACAGGAAGCTGAAGCATCCACATCGTGCAGCACAACCAAGTTCACCGAAAAGAACCGTTTTTACGCAAAAGAAGTGCCTTGGCAGAAGACTGAGCCAAAAGTATTGCCATACTACGAAGAACAACCACCGCTAAGCCAAGCCACAGCATAACCATGGCACTAAAAAACAACGCCTATGCCATGCACTTTATGCAAAGAGCACCTGATGTGAACCTAGGCGGCCAGGTCGTCGTGCGCAAGGAAGCGCCGCTTCTTCCACGGCTGAAGCAGGGTGAGGTGAGCTTTCCATTGTTCGGCCAGGGGCAAGCGTCTATCGCACCAACACTATAATTACATGCGCATATAGCTAGAAGGTGGCCTCATGCGTCTGTTTTTGTTTGATTTCTCAGTCGTTTGCGTTTTGGCTTCTTGGATGTGTGGTATATCTGTAGTATTACCCTCTCGTGTGCGTCTTTGTCAAACATGTCTATAAGACTCACATGTTTGGAGCTGCCTTGTACCCACTTAACCATTACAGGCCGCGATGACGTTTCAATCCTACGGATGTTTGCATTTCACACGTGTCGACGCTGAACGGTGTGTTCGGTAAGTATATGAATACAGATTACATTTATATAAGTTTATGCTTGCTCACTGTTTCCACCCAGTGCGCTGTGGAATATGATTGCGCATGCATGTGCGTTGCAAGTGCATCCCATATTTCTACGCGACTTTGTCAATGCCTGTGCGCAGTTTACGCTGTGCTAAACCTGGGTCAAATATTGCAGAACAAGTTGTTTAAACACAATAGTTGGAAAGCTGCAAAAATTGTGCCTTTTTATTTTCCAGTGGCATTAAGTCCTCTCCTTTGGGCCGCCAACTAGTTACTAGTTTCTACACACAAATCGAGATCGACGACCGGACGATCAGAAGCACACGCAACTTTTTCCGCTCAACGGACACGGGGTATGTAAGTGCACACGGGGTATGTAAGTGCACGTGTTTCACACGTACTGAAAAGACTTTCACAAAGTTGCATGACGTTTCCGACTTCGGGGTCGCATTTTTCAGCATTACCTGTGTAAGCTTGCACTTAGAAAACCAGATATATCTGATATATATATATATATGTGTTTCAAGGCCCGTGGTGCTAATAATGCGTTCCTCTTGCGCTGTATCATTTGCATTTTCTTGGTGTCGTTTTCCTGCCTACTGTGTCGCGTTTATTAACCGTACCTGTGAGTCCTAATCGAGCGACTAGGCAAATCTGACAAGTTTCATGCATTCAGTCTCTAGGACTTCAGGCGCTATCACGGGTGACCGCTTGCACGCGAATCATGAAATCGAAGATGCAGAGAGCAGCTGGCTGCGCCGCGCCCTGCATATCAGTCGGTAAACTAAAATCAATATGCAATGTTAGATACGATAGTAACATTCACCTGCATATCAGTATGTCATGACTGGCACAAACTTCAGGTCAGACTGCAATAGTAGGTACTATAATATCAAATCCACCATGCAGAGAGCAGCTGGCCGCGCCGCGCCCTGCAGATCAGTATGTCACTATGGGCAAACCTATAAGGTCTGGTTGGGGCGTTCCGTGTACCCAAACACTGGACCAAACATCTGCCCAATCAAACCGATGCAGCCGATCTGTCCGATCAAACCGATCCAGCCGATCAAGGAATCGATGCAGAGTGCGCAGCAGGATGATTTGTGCTGCTTTCTTGGGCAGTTCAGTGGCAGACAAAGCTAAGGGTATCAATAGGATCCAGTTTCAAGATGTTTTGGTTTTTTTCAGCCTTGAGGTTGGATTCATGAGCACGGAACAATGCCAGGCACCTTCAAAAATGGACATGCCGGAGGAGGCGTCCTACTCTGACCACTACCGAATTTTGAATGCTGCGGGCGATGAGCACGGAAACCAGACGTCGGATTCCCAATGTAAATTTCTCCTCTCAGACCACTCCTATTCGAGAACCATAGTAAGTGCGCTAAACTCTGCAAGACAAGCTGTTGTACTCTATCCAGTGCTCAACCATTCGTTAGTTGCTGTTTCACAGCGACACATAGACAACTGACTATGCAAA